GTTATGGGGCACAAGAAATCGTAGCAAAACAAGCAATACTGCCTGGGAAGGCCGTGTTCACAGGGGGTGGAGAGCATGCAGCAAGACTCCAGCACCCATTTTTACACCGACTTTGATCAATAGCTGAGTTTTTATCACTTTGTCCAAATGATATCGAGTTAAATAACATCAAAGACTCAAAAATGGTCAGAAAGCAATTCCACAGAAACATATTCCCCAAGGACTTTGCAAGAGCTGCACAAGTTATAATGACCAAACTAAGCATTTGAGTGCAAGGAGTCAAACATGCCCCAGCAAAGAAGGGCTTGAAGCATCCTGCCTTGCTTCACTCACCTCGCTTCGTCACACCCAGCTACCTGCAACCACGTCTCACTATATTTCACAGTGCATTAGAAAACATTCGGAACTATGCTTAATGAAATATATAAATTCCAATAGTATGAGAATACACCGCAGCCATGTGCTATTAAATATCTACCCAGAAAGAGCCCAAAACTGTGGGCTTTGGTTAGAAGACCAGATTTCCAGGTGAGCAGGGAGAATCCCCACCTGGCTGTTTGCACACACAGATGAAGATGACCTACCAAACCCCACTCAGCCCCAGCAGCTGCTGGATGGTGTGGGAGTGCAGGGACAAGGAGTTTCCCTGGCTGCCCCTCCAGCGGTACGGGGCAGGAAGCAAGTGACTGATCAGCCAGAGGCAACCACTCACCCAAGTAAAGCACCTGAAACAAGCAGCAGCACAGCGTAGAATGGGAGCAGGCAGTGACACTTCTCTGAGCCCACCAGCAGTGCCATGCACGGGACAAGAGCGAGAACCATCCCCACAGTGAGGGCTTGGCACGGCTCTGCACAGGGATGGCCAGGGTTACAGCACTGCTGTGTCTCCGGCTCCTGCAGAAAATGTACTTGGACACAGTTATCCTCTGCCCACATGTGCTAAGAGAAGCAGAGAGACTTATAAACAGGGCTTACGGACAGCCTGAACTCGGAAACTATGCACCCCCCGGGATTTATTATCTAGAAACAATGTCTGGCATCAAGCTTCCAGGAAAATTTAGGTTTCAAAGCAAATACCAGTCATCTCACAGACAGGCCAGTGGAACTCTGCTAAGACCTCGGTTGTTTTCAAAGAACACTTCTGAGCCCTCACAAGAGCAGCACTGCAGCCAGCAGCTCCAAAATCCCATCTGCGACCCTCGCATCCCAAAGCGGGCATGGAGGATACATTTGAAAGTGATTTTAAATAAAGATTTCAAAAGAGTTTCGGCTTTATTTCAACTAAGGACATCACCACACACACTAAGACAAATATCAGGCAGCCCTGCCTGTGACCACCGTGGTGCTCTGCCACAAACACTGCAACGAGCCCACACACAGATGGCACAGGGCACCCACGGCTGAGCCTGGCAGTCCAAGTCAGCAGAGCAGCCCTACCAGGCACACTGCATCCCAGAGCTGGCTCTGGCAGATGGGGCACCCATATGTCTGCTCCTTTCCCCCAGTATTTGCTTGAACACAAACCAGCAACACTACCGCAGAAATTAGAGCAGGAAAAGTTTTCATAAGAGACACAAAGATGATCTCTTTTACACTGAGCATGGAAATTTTAAGCACCGCACTACAGCCCACTGATACCCGCAGCGTCCCATATAAGTAATGGTCCCACAGAGCTTGGAGAAAATACCTGCGACTGTTATGCCACTATAATAGAAAGAATGGCAAAAAAGGAAAGCGAAAGGGAGATAATTGCTGAAGAAAACTGGTATTGTACCCTCCAGGAAATTCCAGAAACCTGGATATTTACATTTTTCTTGCTTATTCTTCAAATCCATTGAATTCCATTAGGTACTCCACTGGGAACCTGCTGAGATTTTTGTACGTGCTCACCCAAAGCCAAAAACTTCAGCACAAACCATGAAACTTGACAGGAGTGAGTATATTTGGAGCGTATTTTACACAAGAAGCCTCAGACCAGAAACATGCAGCCCTGTTACACGTTATGTAGGACAGAGGCAGGAGACACGCAAGCAAAAAACAACCAACACATGCCTACATAGAACAAGGCAGGTGCCCATCTCAGCTGTCCTCAGCAGGCAGGGCAGGGCTGACCCGGGCAGCCATTTCTACAGCCAACTCAGACACTCTCATACTGAACCAGGCCAAAAGAAATACGGAGAAAGATGAAAATATTTTCATTGCCATTTTTTTTTAGCACAGAGCTATAGAATCATAGAATGGCTTACATTGGAAGGGATTTTAGAGATCATATAGCTCCAGCCCTTCTACCATGGGCAGGATTATCCCCACCAGCTCAGGCTGCCCAGGGCCCCATCCAGCCCAGCCTCAAACACTTCAAGAGATGGGACATCCACAGCTGTCTGGGCAGCATTGCCAGGGCCTCACACCCTCTGAGTAAAAAATTTCTTCCTAACATCTAACATAAATCTCCCCTCTTTAAGTTTAAAGTCATCCCCCTTGTCCTTTCACTATGAGAACGTATAAAGTCCAATCCCCTTCAAGTACTGGAAGGTACTGTAGCATGGACTAATAACAGACCTGCACTTTGCTACAGCTGGAGGTTGATGGAAGATGCATCTGGGTCACAATGACATCATATGGAACACATGAAAACATCAAGCAAGTGGCCCCTGCTCCACAATTCCTGCAATCATTCATTAGTTTGATAAACAACTTACAAAAGACAGCACTGGAATTGCTATGGCCATCTCTGAACACAGCTGCTTAACTGTAATTTGGCATAATGGTAACTGTAGAATACGTGAACACAGAGTGCAAGGCACCAACTCTACACAGTACCCAAAGAATCCCTTGCTGCAGTCAAGATCCCATGCCCAGCACTCTCCCCACTCATGACAGGGAAGCAGTGGCCCCACTCAGCACCCTGGTAGCACAGAGAGTTGTTTCACATCAAATGGGCAGTAAGTGACAGGAGGCCTGGGACAAGGAGAAGAACATGGGACACCTGAAACTGGACTGAGATGTTGACATGGAAAGAAGGGAAAAAATGCGCATTTATGGTCTTGCACAACTCCCCATGGGAAGGACGGGCAGTGCTGCCAGCAGCTCTGGCCTGGCTAGTGATGTACAACACAGGTCTTCTTGGAGACAGACACAGAGATCAAGCTACTTCAAATGACAGCATTTCAAATTAAAAATGAAACAGAAAAAGGCATTCAAACAAATTGGGAATATTAGTCTATCGCCCACACAACTCTGGCTCGTATGTACATGGCTTAGGATCCAACTTTCAATTATGAGATTGCATGCCAGTGACTCAGAGCACCCTTCCTCCTTGGTGGCACGCACTGCACTCACTTTGCCCACTGCTCACCATGTTGCTATTTAACCTCTTGTCTGAGTGCAGAACTCCTAAGGGCTGGCTTCTTGCGGCTTTCCAACACTTTCCCCTTCTTCCCACTCCAAGAACTGGCAGAAGTCAAACACATCATTTAAGCCTGCAAGTTTGGATCATGCTGCCTTGTTTTTTTTACAGCACCTACAGCTCTTCACACGCTTCCCCGGAAGCTCCCAATGATAAGAACTGCATGTACAAGCACTCAGCACTTAGGGTGACTTGGGCTGCCCAGAGACTTCAGCCACCAAAAGCAAGGTGCACAGGCAGGTGCCCACTGCAAAGCAGTGGCCTTCCAGGGCACAACCTCTCCTGCCTATGGGCCTCCATTGCTGAGAGGTGCCCTGAACAGTCCCAATCCAGCTGCCCTGGTTCCCCACAGCACGTGGTCATGCCCACAGCTATGGCATGCAAAAACCCGTCCTCATGGGCTGTAATGTAACGCACGCACATCAGGAAGCTGAATAAGATCACACCGATAACTTCATTCTATGCAGCATAAGCACCCAATTCTAGTTAGCCTTAAGTGCTCATGTTGGCAGTATCACCTGTTTGTTACATTGAATCTGCTCAGTTTTAGTTCCTGAGTGCACAAAGCGGCACAGAGCCAGGCCATGCGACCCAGGCAGCACATCACTACTGACCCAGCGTTCCCCTCCTCCTTTGCCCTGCTCCACTTCTCTCTCACCCTAAGTGCTGTGTGCAACCTCGGGTCCCCCTCCTGCAGCATTCCCCCCAGCAGGTGCAGCAGCCCCACAGCGGGCTCAAGGTCCCCACCCCGCACTGGGTTACCTCTCTGTCTGTGTGGGGTACCCAGCAAATTCCAGCCAGCACAGGGAAACAAACTGCTCATAGTGCCTTTACATAACACTTGTGCTGAAATCCATAAACCATCGCTCCTATCCGCTAAAATCGAGTTCCTCATCTCAGAGAGAAGTACGCCTTTCAAGAAAAAAAGATTGTTCCATTCCCAGCTGATGGGGATTGCAGCTCACAGACCAGCTCAGCGTGGCCCTAGGACCAACTCAAACCAAACTCCTGCTTGCGGGTTATCAGAGCAAACTCTATGTTCCAGTTGCCGACGCAGTGAGGACCTGCTGTCGGCACACAGCTAAGTCAGACCTCGCTCTCGCCCGGAACGTCCGCTTATCTCTCAGCAGACACTTGCTCTGCAAACTATACGAAGTCGACACAGTGGAACTACAAAGTGAGTTTGATTTCTTCTCGCTTTGCGCCTGTCTCGCATCTCAGCCCGATTTTATTTATACGGAGACACGCACAAAAGCGGACGTCAAGAAGAGACGGCGGAGCTGGCGCCCGGCCGGCGGGTCGCACTGCCCGGCCCCGCACGTCTGGGGGCAGCGGCTCCGCGCCCCGGGCCCCGCTCCGCTCCCGCCCCGCCCGGCACTGCCCACGGCCGCGCCCAACCCCGCCGAGCCCGCGGCTACCAGGGCGGGGGCGGCCAGCACCGAAGCCCCCCTGGGAACGGCCGGCAGCGGGGCGGCCCCCGCGCGGCGCGGCCCCGGCAGGCCGGGAAGAAGTTGCGGCGAAGTCCCGGTGCGGCGGCAGAAGGACGCCCGCCAGCCCCGCCGCCCGCCCGCGGTCTCGCCTCGCCCGCGCCTACCTGCAGCCGCTCCGTGGCCGGCTGCCACATGGTGCCGGGCGGCGGGAGGCGCTGCCGAGCGGGCGCCGAGCGCGGCTCTGCCGGCCCGCTCCGCTCCGCGCTCCGCCCGCCGCTCCGCCCACGCTCCTCCCACGCGTGGCCGCCGCGGGGGCGGGCGCCACGCGCGGACCCGAGCGGCAGCGGCGCCGCGGGTGGCGGAGCGGAGCGGTCCGCGCGGTGCGGGCGTCGCCGGCAGCAGGCAGCGCGCGGAGCTTCGGGGTCTCCTGCGGTGCTTCCCTCGAGGCCGCGCGCTGCCCCACGAGGGAACGGCCGTGCCGGGAGGCGCAGCCCCTGGGGCCGAGCTCAGGAAGCGATCGATTAAACCGGGGTGACTTCATGTAACGGCCTCACCGAGATGAGGTCATTCTTACCCAGACTTTCTAATATTTTAATCCGAGCATCATTTTTATGGGGTATCTGAGCTGTTTTGCATTAGAGCAGCTCTGTGCCCAGCCGCTCTTTTGCTTAAATAAATAGTAGGAATTCATATTTCCAGGATGTGCCGTGTTCCAGAATGTGCTCGTAAGAAGATACCAATAGTTTTTCTATTAATTTTCCTTTTAACGTGCCAAATTCTCGAGTTTCTCCTCTCGCAATGAGTTCAGATGCTTCTCTCTGCAGTGCATTGCTGGGTTGGTGCCAGCGGCCGCCAGGCAGAAACACCTTGGTTGGGGAAGGTCTCCCATTTCAAAGGGGTATTGGATGCAATGAGACCAATTTCACTTTCTTTCACAAAATGAATTTGAAACCTTTCCAGTAACTCTGGGACGTTTCCTCTCTCTCAGTGGCTCCTCGTTACTGAAGTTGTTGGTTTGGACCATCCCATACCCCCATATAAGGGCTGTATAGCAGCACAGTTGAAAACAAAAATAGTCTCTGCAATTAATGACATCCCTCCAAAATCGAAATACACTCTGATACATTGCAAACACAGCATTCTTGCACAGATGAAGGATATAAACCAACTTATATCAATATGAACCCGCTGATATTTTTCTGAAAAAATGTTTTGTGCCCACACAACCCATGCAATTGAAACCGATTTATTTTTTTTTTTGACAGCTTTATCCTACTTCAAGTAAAAATAAATGTATTTTTAAGTTGAACTCCATTTTTTTGCAGAAAGCAAAGCTAGATAAGAAGGAATTGTCTCTGCTTTGTGCCTACAGTGTAGAATCACAGAATCCTTAAGGTTAGAAAAGACCACTAAGATCATTTAGTCCAACTGTCAGCCTATCCCCAACGTGCCTATAACCACGTCCCTCAGTGCCATATCTCCACTGTTCTTGAACACCTCCAATGACAGTGACTTCATCACCTCTCTGGGCAGCCCATGCTGATACTTCACCACTAAAAGACAGCAAAGCAAAAACCAGGCTGGAGATTCCCAGCTCTGGTGGCACCATGTGTATTTGCAGGCTGGCCATGGGACAACCAGCAGGCGTGTGCTGCTCAGGGAGGACACAGCCAGGCTGGGCCCCAGCACCACATCCATGGGGCACAAGCAGAATCTGGGCTTTGAGGAGATTTGGCCACCTACAGGCCTTGGTGGCTCTTGAGAAGCATCTGAAATTACAGCGACATCTAAATGGCAGATATATGCCCTTTAGTAGGTGCAGCAGCACCTATGGATCTGGCTCTGTATTCCCTACCCAGGAGCTAAAGCATGGCCACCATTCAGCAGCAACTCAACAGTGAGGATGTTTCACTCCAGTGCTGACAAAATGCAGATCACATATCTCCAAGGTCCTTGGTTGCCTTTCAGTATTTTGCTTTGGTAAATTGAAAGAGAAATTTATTTACATACTTGCTCCGTGTATAATCCCACCAGTGCAGCACCGCCAATTTCAGCAGTCATCTTTATTCTGATTATTTAGGAGCTTTGGGACGACTGTGGGAGCGGGAGCGCAGCTCCACCAGTGGCAGTGCAGCTGGGGCTGCTTCTGCTCGCACTGCGTGTGGCTCATCAGCCTCTGTGCCAATATTTTAAAGCGGCACAGGGAGATGCTATAAACCTGAAGCACACGGTGTTAATGATTTGTGAAATGGAGGCAGCATTGAGTGCCCCAGGGAAGGAAGAGAGATCGTTCAGGTTCGGATATAGCGCGTCCTCCAACCTGCCTGCACCAGGCATGTAACGAGGTCCCGGCCACCAGTTTGTTGCTGAAGCGCTTGCTGGGGTTTCCATGGGAAACAGGTGTCCTCATGGCCATGCTGGTGCCACATCTCTGCTCGCTTCCTCAGCCGGCACCATCCCACCCTCCTGCAGCACCCATCAGCCCCCCTCTTCACCCAAGAACAGCTTGAAGGGTAACTTTACAGCTGTCTGGGTTTATAAATCAATAAAAGTAAGTGCTTGGGTGCGATGTCTATGTAGGAATCTATTTGGCCATGTTTTGTGGTACCCTTTATTTTTTTTTAACCCTTTTTACCTCATCTGTAGAAAACAAGGTATTTGCTGTCACCTCTTTTTTTGTGGGGGACTATATGGGCCCTAGCAACACCAGCACTCCAATAAGACATCAAACCAAGGCAAGCCGACAGGTGCACCTTACTGCAAAGGGTGTTAAAAGGCCGAATCCGTGGATTTTGGCAATGGCTGAGCAGAGGGGGAAGGGCAAAAGATTGGCAAGGATCAGGGAGCTGCTTCCTGGCTCTGTGCCCCGTGGCCTCACACCAGTGCCAGGGAATTCAGGCCACACCAATGGGCCACAGGCAGCCAGGAAAGCCTGGAGGGAGCACAAGGGACGGCCGTGGCTCAGGGGCTGCAGGCCATGCATGAAATGCTCCATGGGACACATGTGGAGATAGGGGAAAGGCAGGGCAGGGGCACAGAGTGATGTTAGCAGTCACCAATCTACAGCAATGGTGGCAGGAAAGGGAGAGCCACAGTGCATGGGGCCATGGGTGGGAAGAGCTTGGAGGAGTCTGCGTGGAGGAGAAGGGGCAGCAGAGATGAGGAAGGGGAAAACAGAGGCCCATAGCCTGAGGAAGCCAAAGCACAGAGCAATTTGGGGGTGGTGACAACCCAGGGAGGGCACAGTGAAAAGCAGGCAGAAGGCACAGGAGGAAAAGCCCTCATCCCCATAGGGAGCACACCCAACAATGAGACAGCTGCCAGCCACACACTGACATGTGAGGACAATGACATTTCCACTGAGAAGGCAGTTCTGCCTTAACTTACCCAAAGAATCTCAAGTCCAGCTTGTCATGTAATCTTGTAAATAGCATAAAATGATAGACACATGCCAGGCACTTCCATCTCTGTTCCATCCTAGGACCATAAGAATTTGAAGGGAGACCTCAAAGAGCCCATCAGCTCTGTGCACCTTTGATTTTACTGCTTTTATTTGTGAATTATTTGTGATGATTATTAAATACTTACTTGTTTATTATATTGCCTCCAGAAATCCATTCAGAGATCACAGTCACCCCACATCACTCTTACTCCAAGCCAAGGCCAGGACTTGCTCACAGCTCCTGGCCATGACTCTTCCATGACTTGCAGAGATGAGACACTGTGTACTTAATTTGAATTACTTCTGATATTTAGCAACATAAACAAAAGAAGACGTGTGTGTATGTAGAGAAGCTGTTTTAAGGGAGAGTACTGAAGACAATGGAATTACAAAAAGGAATGAAGAGCAATAGGTAATAAATAAATAATGAATCAATCTTATGTGCATTGGATATCCCCTCAGAATAAGAAAATTTACTGAGAAAATAAACTTTTGACCATCTTTGGTTGAAATTGTTTGCAGAGCTTCTCTGCAGCAAGTAAATGGTTTGCAATGTCATCTAGGTTTCACAATTTCCAACCACTTCCTTCTTGGGCACTGCACTGATTAGTGGGAAGTTTTCTAGCACATCTTGCTGGGCTGATGTGAACTGATTTGCTGGCAAACAGCTATGCAGGCAGTAAATACAGATTTACAAACCATTCAGAGAAGCTGAGGAATCAGCCTCTTGTGTTTGGTAATGTACTGGGGCTCGAGTTCCTTCTGAATTTTTGGGAACCGGAGGGAATGCAGAACCCCCACCAGAGGTACAAGTTTGATGCCGTCAACATCTCACATGGGATTATACAAAGTTCTGCAACTCAAAGATGAACTGTGTAAATAGGTAAAACTTCTTCAACCCTAGAAGAGGCAAAAATACGTTAACAGAAAATCAACAAATCTCAACCGTCCTTCATTATGCTCCTGCTTAAATTTCAGCACAACCCACCTCCAGTACAATTATACAGCCGGGCTGTGCTTCACTTAACACCATCTGGGAACCTGGTTCAAGCTAAAAGCAAGAGAGTGGTTAAACAGACATGCTGGCTGGCTGAAGGGCCTTGGTGGCTCCATTGCTTAGAATGCCAATGTCATGTAGCCAATATAGTTTGTGCACAAGCAATAAATCTATTTGTAAGATAATTCTGTTATCCATTATGAGATACAATTTGCATTTTCCTTTCAAAAAATGTATTAAACATTGTCTTTTTAAAGTGATTTAAGAGTTGTGTGCCTCTTCCGTGTGTAGCAATAAGAAACACTTCCCCATGCCAAGGGAAGGGATTTGCCAACTACCGCTGCAGAACGTTAGGCAGAAAATTGCTCTCATAAGTCACCCCTGGCACTGAAGTTTGAAGAAGAGGGATCTACATCAGAGGTAACACATAAACAAAAAAAGAGAGACATAATGAATCCTCAGAAGTTTCAGGGCTGAGCTGCTTCTGAACGAAGAATGCAATTAACTTGAAGTCTGATATTATTACTCTGCCTACAATTTCTGTCCTTCTTAAGAGGTATTGCCAGATGGAAAATGAGGGGAAAAAACAACACGTGGTTTATGTAAAATAAGAGTTTCTTGAAAAACAGTTGAAAAAACATGAGCAGCACCAGCCCTAATGCCAGCGTAGGCTAATTGCTTTGTTGGAAGATTTTGTGCTCCTGTTCAGACAAGAGTCACCTAAACTAGAGCAAAAGTAGAAAATACTAACCAGTTTGTACAGAAATGTTTTTGTGCACGGCATGAAACTGTAAAAATTCATTAAAGCATCACC